CCGTTGTCAAACACATGTTGTTTGATTTTCCTTAATGGACACAAGTGTAAAAGTAACGGGCGTGGTAAGAAGAAGCTTCGTTCAAAGAGTAATGTTAAAATATAAAATTATTATTGACCCACCTCCTAATAGTTTAATTTTTTGAGATAGATTGGTAAACTAACATGGTATTAGAGCGAGAGGTCATGGGTTCAAACCCCCATAATTGCACTCTTTATCCCCATTTTAAAATTATCATCATGTGTTGGGTCTTTAATATATCTTAGACTTAAATATTCACGTGTTGAGCTTTCTAATTAATTTACCAACACGATTGCCCATTGTCCAGCCCACACGTGAGGGGGAGTGTTAAAGTATAAAACTATTGTTGGCCCACCTCCTAATAGCTTAAGCTTTTGGGATGGATTGTTAAACTAACAATTAAAGTATAAAAACTATTGTTGGTCCACCTCCTAATAGCTTAAGCTTTTGGGATGTATTGGTAAACTAACATGGTATCAGAGCGTCCTAAGTTTAAACCCTCGTAATTTCACTCTTTATCCCCATTTAAAATTGTCATCGTGTGTTGGGTTTTTAACATATCTCAGGCTTAAATATTCACGTGTTGGGCTTTTTAATTAATTTACCCACACGATTGCCCATTGTCTAGCCCACATGTGAGGGGGAGTGTTAAAGTATAAAAACTATTGTTGGCCCACCTCCTAACAGCTTAAGGTTTTGAGATGGATACATGGTGATTTATTTTATTTGTATTCACAGAATTCTCTATAAAAAATTACCCAAATCATCTTAAAAGCGGACTCCTTAGATTTACTATTTCACATATTGCGTGATTTTGAATTGACTCATGGTCAAAACGGGTCCTTTTATGATGTCGGGAGAAATATTTCTGACACTGTACAAAGAGATACGATAATTTGTAAAATTTTACGTTAGAAATTATAAAATTGAACAATTCATCGTATTTCTTCAAAATTCATAAATTTATCGTAATTTTTACAATTTTAGCGTTTGAGATTACAAATTATAATGTAAAATTTCACAAATTATAGTATCTCAGCACGGTGCCGAAAATTTTTCTTCCAGCACCATAAAAGTTTCCAATCAAAACTTATTAGTTGGTAATCAGTATTCTCCTTATGCGGCTAAATGTTTGGCAATCTGTGAAGGGATTCGAATGATTCGACGCTGCAATTTTAATAATTGGGTTTCAATCGGATACGGGTAATGTTATTTGACGACCGGCTTCAAGAGCACTTGAAGCTTCCACTAATGAGAATGTTCAGGAAGCTCGTCCCATGCCATTTAGTGGCTCTGTTTACTATATTTCCAAACAAGGAAGTTATGTAGTTCATTGTTTCACTAATGTGTTCGCATTCTAGTGATTAAATATATATATATATATATATATATATATTTTTTTTTTTGGGAAGGATCTAGTGTTATATTAGGATAGACTATTTTTTTGACTTTATTGGCTTTTTATACTTAATTGAGCAATAAAGTCCACTTTTCTTTTTAAAAAAACACTCCTTTGAATTCATATTTTTCCTTACTTTTTTTTAAATCCAATTTCATATAAAATAAGATAAGATGATATGCATTATGAAAAGGTAGTTGCTCGACACATCAAAAATATTATCTTTTAAGTTCCATTATTAAATTGGTCTTTAAAGTGTATTCAATTTATCGTTTCAAATTAGGTTATTTGTTTGGAAATAACTTACCAGTTTCCTTTTTTTTTTTTTTTTTCTTGCTCTTTATTCCTTCATCTCAAATCTCCAACGTTCTTTCTATAAGAAATGGAGAGATCTTAAGATTTTCTGTACTTTTTTTTTTCTTCTTTCAATTCAGATACGTACATAGCTTCTAAAAACTGGATATAAGAAATTTTAGGCAAGTGAAGATTTAGAACGACAATAATTATGTTATTGGTAAAATAGGCTAGACTAGAGGAACAGTTGGAGGTAGTCTTGAAAAAGTCAAAAATTAATTTATTATGAAACTTGATTTTTCTCATTTTTAGGGATAACGGGACGAAGAGTGGGGGTACCATTTTCTATCCCCATCCCTGCCCCAAAACATTCCTATTCCTACTTAATGAGAGTTTAGATTGAGTTGAGATTATCCATACCTGTTTTATTCAGCATTTAATATAATTATATTTGCTTAAAATGACAATAATTTAAGACAAAAATAAAGTAGAAATTATAAAAACACAAAATAATTAATACATAAGCTAAAAAAAAATTGAAAACATCACAATATAGACGTAAATTCTACTTCGTGAAAGTCTAGGTTAGGGTTAAATATTTTGACGAGAAAATTACAAAACTTATTCTTAGAGTGTATGAATCTGAATTTTTACTCATTATTATTGATTAATAAACTTTTTGTCTAATATAGTTATTTGACTAAAAAATATTTTAATTAAGAGTAAAAGGGTAAAGTCCAAACCATGCACTTTAAGCGTATTTTTCTCATTTATCTATAGGTGAAAATTTGAGCCGGCCCGATCCGATATAAAATAAAAGAAAGTCAGTCCAACCCAACTATAAAACCTAAAAGGCTTCAAGATGACCCAGCCCCGGCCGGAGTTTATAAAGTATTAAAAAAATAAGAAATGAAGAATTTACCCTTGAGAGTGCATGAGTTTGGACATTTACCTCTTACTCTTGATAAATATCATTTTGTTATGTAATTATTTGACTAAAAAGGTTATGAATCAAGAGTAAAGAGTAAAAATCTTGACTCATGCACTTTCAAATGGTATTTGTTAAGATTACCCTAAAAAAAAAAACCTTTAAAAACATCACATTTTAGTCGGACAAAATGAGCTTTTGGGTTTAAAATTTTAGTCCGGACTAACAGTGACGAGCCTCAAGCTGGCCCGTTTGACCCAATTTAAACTTCAGCTCTAAATTTCTCCTTTCACGTAGTGTGTGTATATATATATTATGGGAAATTAAGGAATAGTATTAGCAACTTAGATTTTTTTTTTCCTTAAAAAAACATAGATTATTATTATATTTTTTTTTTGCGCTAATCTATTAGCAACTTAGATTACAATCGTCCCACCATTCCTGTTCCACTAGGGCGACGCCCTTTCGGATCCGATCCCTACAAGTTAATTGAGAAAAATCAATATTTTAACTGCTTTGTGTATGATGAATGTTTTATTATATTAATTACTATTTTTATTTTTTAAAATGAGATATAACTTACTAATAAGATACTCCCGGAAATTTTGAGAAAATCAGTTAAGAATATTCTTTATATATAAAAACCTTGCAAACTCCATAGGAAACATCCATTAATGCAGTGGATGTACATTTCGGTTTACTTTTGATTTTATTAGATCTACAGTGGAAACACATTTCGGTTAAATAAATATACTATTTTAATTTTCTAAAATAAGATGCCGAAACTTTTGAGAAAAAGAAAATAAGTTAAAAATATTTTCTACATATAAAAACCTTTCAACTTTCTTCCAAAAAATTAAAAAAAAAAATTTCAATCATTTTTATTCATTATTCAAAAGAAAATCTTGGGATCAACATTTCATGTCGGGGATAATGCAGAACGGTAAGTAATTTGGGGGTAAAAAATTGTACCTTTTTTTGTCTATATCAAAAATAATTTGCTTTTTAAGAAAGGTAAAATTAGTTAAGAACAGTGATTTTGTCTAAAATTGCCTTGACAAATAGAACTGCCTCCTCCCTACCCTGTCTAGTTGACAAATAGAGCTAATAACAAAAGCCAACCATATTGAGTTTCTCTATTAAAATTAAAAAAAATAATAATCTATCAATAATTATTTATTTTTAATCATCAGATTTATATCAAAAATTATTTATTATAAATATTTTTTTAATGTAATGTAATTTTAATCATATTAACTGATCCTGAGTCTTATCAGAACAAATCTATATAATATAGTAACTAATATATTATACCATTTTTAGTACTTTCTTCTTAACAATTTGTCACCCAAATTGAATCCCCAACTTCATCATAAAACAGAAAAGATAAAAGAAAGAAAGAAAAAAAAGCTTAAAAAGGAAGAATCCTCCAAAATGTGATCATTACAAGATAAGTATGAGTTACTCCCAATAATTCGAGTTTTTGTTGGAAGGATTTGGATGGTTCTTTTATGATAATTTATTTTATTTTCTTCTTTTCCAATATCATTAACAGTAACACGATCACCAAATTTTCATCAACACAAAAATAGTATCATGACCCAAAAGATTTAAAAGTTCTTAAACAAAGATCTCAATATAACCCAATAGTTAGGCTTAAGTCAATTTTTTTTTTACAATCCTTCTCACAAGATCAAGACCGTGCAATAAAAAAGGAACACATATATAGGCCCGTTAATTTCAACAATTTAAAATTTATTATAATAAAAAAATTTTAAAAATAAGTATATTTAATTTTTTTATTATAATAAAAAAATTATATAAAATTATATTTTAATTTAAATTAAAAACTCAAATAAAAAAATTAAGAGGTTTCATAATAACTTTCTGCTTCACAAATCTCATCATTTGATTCAATTTTGGCCTTCTCGGTACGTTCCCAAAAGCCAAAAAAAAAAAACACCCAAAATCATTCCAACTCCCTCACTCGCATTCATACCGCGTGCGTGTCACTCGCCTCCCCTATATTATTTGTACTCTCCGATTGTGACTTGATTCGGGTTTAAAATTTTAATTTTATTATAATAAAAAATTTTAAAAAATAGTTATATTTAATTTTTTTATTACAATAAAATTTTTTATATAAAATTAAATTTTAACTTAAATTAAAAATTTAAATGCGTGTCTCTCTTGTTTTGATTTCCTCTCCATTGGGCTACGTTTCCAACTTCTCTACTGCCTTTAAATCCGACCGTCCAATTCTTGGCGAGTTCCTTGATCAAACTCATTCTCAGCCGTCGATTTTCTCTTCCAAAGAATTTTCGTTTCGCCCCAGTTTTTTTTTTGTTTTTTGGCCTCTCTTTTCCAGCTTGTAATTTCCCCTATTTATATCACAGCTTTTTAGTTGTTAATTTCTCTCTCTCTATCTCTGTGATTGTGAAGTAAACCGCCATTTTCCGGCCAAGTTCTTGGTCGGTAAGTTTATTTTTGCATTTCTTTTCTTTTCTTTTCTTTTCTTTTTATGGCAATGATTCAGTCTTTTCATTTGTATTTCCTCGTTAATGTGTCGGAATTTAGGGGTTTTTTTTTTGGTTCGATATGGCTTTTATTTCATTTCGTTATTGAATTTTGACGCTTTTTCTCTCTCAAAACTTTCTTCTTGGTAGCTGAGAAATTGAAGTATGAAACAGAAGGAGAAAGTTTAGAACTTTAATGTTCGATCTGCATAATTTGGGTTTAATCTGTTAAATTTATATTTCGTCTTGTCGGGTTTTTTTTTCAATCATTTAAATGCTAGAAGTTTACAATTTCTTGCTTTGCTTTGAGAATTTACTGATAAATTATTAAAGTTGTTCGTTTATCCAATAACTACAACTAACAATAAATCATGGAGAAGTTTTTTTTTTTTATATATTTTAAATTACTGTATTATTTTTTTTCCGTTAAGTTACGTATAAATACTTCAAAAAAAAAAAAGTTACGTATCAAGTCAAAGTTTTGTGATTTTGAGTTTACTTTATTCACTAATTTAGTTTGCAATGGCGATCTTTGAATTCCGATTTTGGAACTGCAAGGTTAAGATGGTTTTGATGATGAATTGTAGTGAAGCATCCTAGGAGGAGCGCCTTGTTCTTCTTCTTCTTCAGTAAATGGGCTGTTTTCAGTCGACAGGAAGGAGACAATTCCCGGGATATGAGGACCCCGTTGTCCTCGCTTCGCAGACCGCATGTAAGTTTTTTTTTTTCTCTTTGAATTACAGCAAGTTATTTAGGTCTTTATAATCTTGAGATCATGATATGTTTGTTCTTTAGCCCCCCGTTTTTCCTAATAGTTTTGACTTCTGGTGACTAGAGTAAACATACATCCAGCTTTTGATAAGATTGAAGAGAACGATATATATATATATATATATATATTTTTTTTTTTTTCTTTTTTTTGCTGATCATAAAAGGGATTTGGTGGTGCACTTCATGTCCCCTAATCCCTTCGGCTATAGCGGCAATTTTGGAAGCCACCAAGTACGTAGAAAGGGCCTGAACTAGTCTCTCACTGACCATCCAACCAGTTTTCACTCCCCTCCATCTTGTAAGGCCTGCGGAGGCCGCTTAATCTCCCACAAGGGCAGGGCAGCAACGCACAGATACAGAGTATCGAATTCTGGAAGGATGGGTAGAAGAGACCTAGCAAAGGCGTTCTTACCACTACACCACGACCCTCGTTGGTGAAGACAGCGATTTGTCATTGTTTCTGATTTTTAACCGATCATGAATTCTTATATTATCTGTAGAACTCATGAATAACGTAGGACTCACACAAAACATGAGAATTTTTGACTGGTTGAAAACCCCATTTGTGATTCATCTCCATTGGCTTGGCTCATTGGTTCGTCTTGCTTTCTTCTCTTTCTTGTTAATTTAAAGTTTTCATTATGTCTTAATTTCTAATCTCCAGTTAGTGTTAGCGAAGTTGAAGCCTTGTTTGAGCTATACAAGAGCATCAGCAGTTCTGTCATTGATGATGGATTGATAAACAAGGTATTCTTGTGGCAAAGGCCTCATACCGTTAGGAGTTTGTTCCTTGTTTAGCTTTGCTTACTGTTCTGGCTACTGATTATTTTCTCTAGTTGAGACTTGAGCTAGAATTTTAAAGTTCCTTATATTCCTTGTTGGTGCTCCGTATAACAAGTATGTTGCTCATAGATATCTGAAAATGCACTTTGTTTAATAATGAGTTAAACAATTAACAGCAAAGTTAACTTACTTAAGGTTCTTGTTTAAAAAGTTATACTGTTGATTGTTATAATTTATGCTGCACTTGTCTACACGCTATCACAATATTCGTAGATGTTATGTGCGATTCTTAACCAAATGTTCTTGCTGTATGTACAGGAAGAATTTCAGCTAGCTCTTTTCAAAAACAGGAAGAAAGAAAACCTTTTCGCAAATCGGGTATTGTATTTTTCTTTTAGATTTCTTTTCTTTTTCTTCTTCCTTTGTGATGTTAAACCAATGATTATGTTGGGAACAGATCAGTTTAAATGATTGAAACTGTCTAAGCAACATATTACATATGTTACACCTTTTGTTCTCCAATTGAATAACTTGAACTGACTACTTTTAGATCCCACACTCTGATAAATTAATTTTACAAAAGTTGGATAGTGAATGAACTTCAGATGCCTTCACCAATGTGTGAGTGGATGAATTTGACGTACTAAAAGTAAGGAAAAGAAACAGACAGCTAAGCTAGAAAAACTATTCAAGACTTAGTCCGTCCTCTGTTTTGACGAAAAATTGAAAACATTAAAGAGAAAAACACAGTTGCAATCTCTGAGGTTTTTTCCCCTTTAATTTCTAATTTATAGTGTTCTTTCATTGCCTTTTTCAAGTACAATCATCTGCTTTAGTTTGGGGGATTTTCTTCCTTTATACTTTAAGGAATAGAATCTTAATTTTGGGTGATTTTGTGTGCAGATCTTTGATATGTTTGATGTTAAGCGGAAGGGATACATTGATTTTGGCGACTTTGTTAGGTCACTTAATTTCTTCCATCCGAATGCTCCACAGGAAGACAAAATTGACTGTAAGTTGAAGAGATTGATACTTGACTGTAAAGAGCAGGCTGCTATGTTCCGTTCCATGTTCTTTATGTTTATGTTGGTGTTATTAGTTGATGTAGACTCTAGTTGACATTTCTGAATTGTATTGCAGTTTCATTTAAGCTCTACGACTTGGATAATACAGGCTTTATTGAGCGCCAAGAGGTATGTTATGTTATCCTTTATGTTACATTTTTTAATATCTCGATACGTTCTCGTTGAGCATGAGCATGTGAATTCTGTTACTCTTTCTTTGTCTTGTCGTGTTTATTTTGAATTTCTTCATGAACTGATATAAATTGTTTGGCATTCTTTATCATTTATCAATTGTCAGTACTTCAAACTCTCTCTCTCTCTCTCTCTCTCGTACATTTACTTTAACAAGTCGTACATTTTTGTGCTTATTTGAGGGAAATGATATTCTCTCTCAATCTTTCTTTTCTTTCTGTGCCTGATTGTAACGGCTTATACATCTTTCCTGTTTGTGCAGGTCAAGCAGATGTTGATTGCACTTCTTTGTGAATCCGAAATGAAGCTGGCTGATGAGACCATTGAAATAATACTTGATAAAGTGAGTAACTATATTGTAATTGAAGTTTACCCATTGTAGAAAACATTGTTCATTTACTTCGGAGAATGTAAAGACGATTTAAAACTTGCTCTCAACTGAAGTCCTTTAATTCAATAATAATTACACAAAACTTGGTTATGTCATCCTCTTTTAGCCTATACACGTGCATAGTTAGGGTGAAAGAAGCATTTGTGAAAACAATATAAGGTTGTCAAATGATACCGATTTGAGTTTAATAATGAACATGTTTTCTTCTCTAAGTTCTACCAATGAAGAGTCTTGATAGTTATTACTAGAAGTCTTCCAATATGTGTTTTTCATTATTTATTGTCTTAAAGAATTTCTGATTTATAATTAATCTATTCATTTTCTGGTGACAGACTTTCATGGAAGCTGATGTCAACCAAGATGGGAAAATAGATAAAACTGAATGGCAAAACTTCGTTTCGAAGAATCCGTCGTTATTAAAGATCATGACCCTTCCATATTTGAGGTTTGCAATGCATTAGTTTTACCTCATCTACAGGAGACAGCATCTTAGAACTTGTGACAATATTATAACTCATGTTTCTTGAATTAAATTGCAGGGATATTACAACAACATTTCCGAGTTTTGTGTTTAATTCGGAGGTCGATGAGATTGCAACATAAGGGACTGTTAATAGTTTAGGAAGATTTATGCAGTTAGGGTGGGAAATTTTTTTTTTCTTTGCGTGTATTTGTATCATGAAACCAAGCAGCTGAGAAATGAAAAAGGAAAGAAAGAGGGATGAATGTGTATTGATACAAGTGAAGCTGTCTACATTGGTTTGTTGGAAGGTTGTGACTGGGGGTTTATATTAGCTGCTCTCAGTCAAATTGTAAAGCACCTTCTATTTTTTTTTATTTTTCTAGTCAGTTTTTCACTGTACTACCAATGCTTTGCTCCCTGGGAAATTAAAGTTTTCACCCTTGTAATATATATATATATATTTCTTTGTCGAAATTATTCTCTGCTTACAGGGAAAGGTTTTGCATGAAATTAGTGTTCCCTTATTGGGAACAAAAGTTGCAAAAGAGCTCTTTACACGTCAAGCAAAATTCTAATGGTAGAGTTTAAATATGACAATTTTCAAAATTTTACAAAAATATTAGAATTTTGCTAAGAGAGCTTTACGTATTGTATGCATCTTCTTGTTGGGTTTGCCTTTGAAACGTTAAATTTTAATTAAAGTCTGTTAAGACTCTTATGCTGTTAATTTATCATGGATCGTTTGTGCTTTTGCCATTGAATTTTAAATGAATTAGCAAGTAAATCGGTGAGTGATGCTAAAATTTACTAGAAGAGCCCTCATACAAATGACATGTAATACTTTGTTAAATTTATGAAGTAATTTGTCAAAATAAAAGAAAAAGAAATAACTTGTTGATCATCAAAAGTTCAGGAACAAATGCGCCTATTCCATTATAATGACGACATGATATAGATTGCAGTAAATAACATTTTTTAATCTTATTTTGAATTAAATTACATGTTTTAAAATATGTTGAAGTAAATAATTTACTAATTACTTACCCCTAATAAATATTAACCGTAATTTACTTCAAATATTTTAAAACATGTTATTTACTTTAAAATCTACCGAAAAATATATATGTTTATTTGCCTTTTGCTCCCTATTACCAATTGCTGGTATAAGACTGCGAATGCTTGAGCGATGAGTTGACTAGGCATGGGTCACAACTTGCGGCGGAGGCTTTATTTTCGGACCCCGGTGTGGTTGAATTTGTCACTAAATTAATAAACATCTTTTTAATTTACGCGTTTAAATTAATAATTTTAATTTAATAATTTATGATAAAAAAAAATTTAAATTTAAATTTGTTATGAGATAAAAAATATTGTAGTACGAATCAAAATTATGAGTTAAAGTAGACGAGAGTTCGTCTTTAAAGACTCGTCGAGATAAGAAAATAAAAGAGGACTAAATTGTCATTCACCGAAAGATTCAGGGACTATTTGCGGTAATCAGGAGAGAAACGAACCCACCACCACATTGAACAAACATTACCTCTCCCAACTTTTTTACCTCTCTCTCTCCCTCAGACCGCGGAGGCTGCATAAACGGAGCTTCTCGTCGACCTCGGAGAGTTCCTTCAACTGGGAATCATCTAAATTTAAAGATGAAAATGGGTTTTTGTTTTCTTCTGAAAAAAAGGTAATTTTGAAGAGAACACGTCAATTTATATTTTTACTGTTTTTTTATTTTTATCCTCCATAGGAAGCTAACCTTGTAATCATTGTGCCACAGTTCATTTGAACTCGGATCATTTTAATCTACAAATAAACTGGAAAAAAATGTACTTTTCAATTTAGCTTAATGATTTGCCCATATATGTGTGTGTGTGTGTGTGTGTGTATAGTATTTGTATTGGAATTCTTTTATGAAATTTTTATTGGCTTAAACTATACTTGCAGATGACTAGTCATAAGTTGAATTTAAGAAGAAATAGAGCAATTTCTTTTGGAACCGTATGCTTATGTATTGGTTGAACCTTCGGTACCATTTCTGGGTTAAGAGGCATATTTGTAAATGTTTGCCTCTAGGATCTCCAAAGGAGTAAAATATTAGCTTTCTTTGCCATGATTGTGTTGTTCCTTCTTCATGGCACTACTACTGTTGAAAGAAGTTATAACTCAACTCCGTTACGTGCGAAACGTTTCATTGGCGTTTCATGTGGCCTCTTCAACCATTCAGCAGACTGTTTTGAACTCGACTCATAATTGTAAGATTAGGAGTCTTTTGATGCCTCCGGTATCAGATGCATGTTGTCTGCAGTGTCGAAATTCTTTCGCGCATCAGTTTTCCACTGATGTTGGGCCTGAAAGGCTATGTTGGGGAGTTTCCTCTCAAGATGTCCTATTGAAAAAGCTCGAAAGAGCATTGAAGTGCCATCAAGTGGATGAAGCGTGGGAATCCTTTTTCGATTATAAGAAGTTGTACGGCTTTCCTGAGGATTCCCTCGTGCAAAGGTTGATAACCGAACTTTCATATTCGTCTGAACCTCGCTGTCTACAGAAAGCATGTGATTTCGTCTTGATAGTTTCAAATGAGAAATCAGGTCTACTGCGGCGTGATATCTTGACGAAACTATCCCTCTCCTTAGCGCGATCTCAATTGCCTAATCCTGCCACAAAGATTCTTAGATTGATGTTAGAGAAAGATATGTTGCCTTCAATGAATATTCTGTGGTTGGTTGTTCTGCATATGGTGAAGACAGAAGTTGGAACACATCTTGCATCCAATTTTTTGGCTCAAATATGTGAAAGTTTCCAACAAGTAGGCGCAAAAGATAGAAAACGAGCAGAGCTGATGAAACCCGATACAATGATCTTTAATCTTGTGCTTGATGCGTGTGTGAGGTTTAAATTGGCTTTCAAAGGTCAACAAATTATGGAATTAATGCCCCAAACAGGTGTTGTTGCTGATGCTCACTCTATCGTTGTTGTGGCTCAAATTCATGAGATGAATGGCCAAAGGGATGAACTAAAGAAATACAAAGTTCATATTGATCAAGTTTCACCTCAGTTTGTCTGCCATTATCGACAGTTCTATGATAGTTTGCTGAGCTTGCACTTCAAGTTTAATGATATTGATGCAGCTGCTGGACTTGTATGGAATATGTGCAGGTACCGGGAGTCTCTTCCTATTAAGAGTGAAAAGAAGAACCCACAAAAGATTTTTCATATTCCAATCGGATCTCATAATCTAAAGGCTGGGTTGAAGTTGCAGATTCAGCCTGAGCTGCTGCAAAAGGACACCGTCCTAAAAGTGGAAAGTAAGCAAGAGCTTGTGATTTTTAGGAATGGAAAACTTGTTCTTAGTAACAGGGCTCTGGCAAAATTCATCAAAGGATTTAAAAGGGATGGGAACATTAGTCAGCTGTCAAAACTTTTGCTTGGAATCCAGAAAGAGTCATGTTCTTTGAGAGGTTCTGATTTGTGTTCTGATGTGATTGAAGCTTGCATTCGTTTAGGTTGGCTAGAATATGCTCATGACATTTTGGATGACATGGAAGCCTCCCAGACTCCCGTAGGTTGTGCTACTTATATGTCGCTCTTGACGGCATATTTTAAACGAAAGATGTTGAGGGAAGCAAAGGCTTTGCTTAAAAAAATGAGAAAGGCTGGTATCACAACACATTTACCGGATAAGATGGTTGTCATCGCGTGTCTATCAGAGATAGCAAATGACAATTCCCTCTCTTTTAATGTGTCAACCTTGACTGATAAATTGGATCTGGTCGAGTCTTTTATACAAGAGATGCGGAATGAGGAGGCGGTTCCTTCTTTGCTTTATGAATTCAATTCTTCCATTTACTTCTTCTGCAAAGCCAAGATGATTGAGGATGCTGTGAGGACATACAGAAGAATGCAAGAGACAAAAATCCAACTCACTGTGGAAACTTTCACTAATCTGGTTTGTGGGTATTCTTCTCTCGGAATGTATCGGGACATTACAATCTTGTGGGGTGACATGAAGAGGAATATGGAGTGTGGAAGTCTTTCTGTAAACAGAGATTTGTATGAATACTTGCTAATAAGCTTCCTTCAAGGCGGTTACTTCGAGAGAGCGATGGAGGTTAGCGAATATATGAACAAGTATAATATGTTTGCAGACAAGTGGATGTACAAAACTGAGTTCCTGAAACTTCATAAGAAATTGTACAGGAACCTAAAGGCATCAGAAGCTAGAACCGAGGCTCAAAGAAACCGGCTCCGATATGTTTTGGCATTTAGGAAATGGGTAGGCATTGATTGAAAACCGGAAGCTTGAAGAAAACATGGGTTGCATGAAGAGATTTTTGGTGAAAATGGAACATGGGAAGTTTGAGAAAGGTGCTCTGATTTTGAACAAAGGAAGTTTAAGAGGTGCTGCGACATCAAATAGTGGACTGTGAATCCACTCCGATTCTAAGTGAAATCTTATATATACATGAACACGACCAGTTTGATCAGAAGCACGGCTTATTGAATCGTGAGAAAGTATGGAGAAAATTTTCATGTTATTTGCTGTGGGAGTAAGCAACAAAGAGATGCTAACAATTTTTAGCATATTATGAAATTTGTCTTGAGTTCGGAGTTGGTAACCCTTAGTTGCCAATGTATCATAAAGGCCTTGCTGGCTTTACTTTCAGCTTTTTGTCATTTTTTTTTTTCATCTTGACCTTTTTTTTTCTTCCCTCGAAAAAGAAGATCAAAGATGAACAATAAACGAAAATGTTACAATACAAGCCTTGAGGAATGAGGACGTTGTTTGTTTGTTTTCTATTGCCTTTTTTTTAAAGTAGTTTATTGGTGTGGTGTATACATAGATGATAGAACCTTGATAGATTTTGTCGCAGCAGGCAAGGAAAGATTGAGAAAAAGATTAATTTGAGTGAGATTTTATTGAAAACAATACTGATTGATACAAATGATATGCGGAACTTCGATGGTCCGTAACCTCTCCACTTGGAATGAACTTTCCCAGGACAAACCTAAAACATTTCCCTGACTTTCTCCGTTTCCCTCTCCCACTTTTATTCTCTCTCTCTCTCTCTTTGCTCTACTAACTAGAAACTAACAATCTTTCTTAGCAAGCCTACTAACAATCTTTCTTAACAAGCTAACTGACAATCTCTCTTAACAAGCTTTAGAAACAATCTTTCCAAACAAGCTTTCTAATTCTTCTTATTCTTCCTAATGTATACTTGCCTAAGTAGAGATTTATCAATAGAACTGAAGTAATAGAGTTGTTAAGTAAAAGTACTTTTTTTTTTATAATAAGGGTCCGTTTATTTCGCTATTTCAAGTTGATATGTAACTTTATGTGAGAATTTTTTACTGTAGTAAAAAAGTTAGATGTGACTGTTTCTGAGAGTTTTTTACTGTAGTAAAACTCGAATCGGTAAAATGAACAATATCTAAGTATTTGATTCAATTTCAAGTACTTACGAGTGAATTTTCCCGAAGGAAAAAAAAAAAACAAAAACCCCACTTTATAGAGCCTAGAGAATAGGAAAACCTGCTTTATAATTATTTCGACTGTCGCCTGTCACTTGTTTCAACCACGAAATAACACAATTTTTTTTTTCCCAAAAGTTTGAAGTTGCGTATTCACGAATGGGTCAATAACTGATTGTACACTTCAAATGACAATTTCTTTTCCACTAATATAAACGCTCGGTCTTAATCACCAGTATTTCATCGATACTCTATTGGTAAGATCACCATGCCTAGTGTCATTGCAAGCATAGTCTATACTGTATTGGTAAATTCACATCTTACTTTGAGGTGAGATGTAGAGTTCAAATTCCCCACCTCAAGTTAATAATAATAACAATAATAAATAAATAAATAAGAGAAAAATCACCATACCTAGTTCCTTGGTTCCGAGATAAAAGTATGCTCTTAGGTTGCTTAATTATAAAAAGTAAGTTTCCCTAGTTTTAGAAAAGAGCATAAAATGGTATATCAACCATGTAAAAGTTCTAGGAAGATGAATACTTCACAGAATGTAAGACGAATATAGCAAGTTCCAATATAAGATCACTACATCAACTCCTTCAAAATTGACACTTCATATATACAAATGACGAGAAGATTCAGTAAAGATTTCTATAAATCCTTTAAAGAAGCTGCAGCAAACATAATAAGTAATAACACCTACCAAAAATACAAACCAAACCTGTGGCAGACTCAATTCGACTCTCTCTCTCTCTCTCTCTCTCTCTCTCTCTCTCTATATATATATATATATATATACACGTTAGAAAATTTGAAGTAAATCACTTGGTCAAAAAGATTCACTTTCTGAAGAGAACAGCTGCCACTGAAAGGGAAGAATCGTGCTCTTTATTCTATTGAATCTTTACTTTCTTCAATCTGGACACTAGAGATTCTACAGACTTTTGTATTCTGTTGCTGTCTGTCTGCTTGACCTCCTGAGACACCTCTCGCAATCTCTCAACCCCGCGACCCAAATTGGCAATGGATGGAGCAGCAGGAAGAGATTCAGCTACACACTCAATCCCATCTCCATAAACAAGCAACCCCGAGCACGTTGCGACACTACACCCGAACGTTGCCCATGGTAGGAAACCTATTGGCCGGACCTGACGTTTTCTCATTATTTCATAGAATGCTGTTCTCATGGCTGAGAGGCTGGTTTTCTCAGCTGAGGCTATGACACCATGGGCAACAGCACGGATCTTCTCGGCAGAAGCAGTTACTTTCAAAGCTGATGATGTTTTGACTCCAGAAATAAGTTTCGATGGACCCAGAGTTTTTCCAAGGGCCAATCCCATTGCTTTCTGTGATTGGGTTAGGAAGATTTTGAGTGAAGCAGGGACATTGAAGGTTACAGCCTTCATAAAAGTTGATGCCGGGACAACTTTAGAGAGAGATGAAACTCCCAAAACTGCTGTTGCCCCTGCTCCCACTGCCACCACGGGTTTACCAGTCAACAAATGCTTTCGGTCCGCTTGATTTGGCACCTCTCCATCACCATCCTCGCCCTCATAAAGCTGTCCGATCAAATCCTTAACTTTTAAAGGAACTGGATGGTTCCAGTGTTTCCTAAGACCTGCTAAGCTACTGGCGTCCACTACTGCAACTATGGTCTTGAACTTCTTAGTCTGGGCACGAAGCGCTTGTGCAAAGAGTACCTGTGATTTTTCCTCAACTGAAAGGTCAGAGAACTCGGTTTTAACCAAGTTGGGATTTCCTATTTTGTTGATTGGCAGTCTACCAGCATTGTTCAGAGCAATTCTCAGCCCCTCAACTGCAATTCGGAAGGTATAAACCTCAGATATGATTTTGTTATCCACAGCTTCCCCCTTGTTTACATCATATAGCATCTTCTGAGCACGAGCTAGAGCCCTTCCAATTGATGGGAGATCCACAAATATATTGTGTAGATCAACAAGCAATGGATAAACGGACTGAGCAAATGGTGGAGCCTCGTAATTGTCTTGCGGCTGAATTTCCTTTTCAGTAATTGACCTTGATGGACTTAATCTTGATATTGACATCTCCAAGTGCGGTGATAACAGCTTCACCATTTGTGACTGAATATCATTAGTCAAGAAAAGCCTCCTTGAACTCAACGTAACAGCTGAACCAAAAACTTTCTGTGGAACCAAACTACTAACCAACCCTTGGAACTTGTTCACCACATCACTTTCACCGGATGTATCATCATCTCCCCCAAAACCTTTCAAACATGATGATTCAATCACCAAGAATGACGAACCAACCTCTTGAGCCGCCTTCTTGGCTGCCAAAAGATGTCCATGGAAACTAATGCCAAAAATCTCTCGCAAAACCAAATTGCCAGCTACATCCTCATACTTCTCCTTGTTAACCTTATCCAAAAAACATCTTCTCAGAACTTCAAACGACGAAGTGGGAAGGGGATTCTCAACACCATCAGCTAATTCACCCTCTTCGGTGAGTATTTCGGTCCCGTGAGAAAGCACCTGGGCAACCACGGCTTCAGGCCTAATCTCCCTAATCAAACACACGACATCTGAAGTTGACCGCTCAGATAAACTCTGAGCAGAGAGGATGTATATCACAGATTGAGTTTCTTGATCCTTAACGGCATAAACAAACTGTTTCGTGCAATCAGGTATCGGAAGTTTTCGAACTAATTCACGGGACGCTCTTAGGTCATCGAATTTAAGCGCCGAAAAGGGCCAAACATTTTGCAGGTTCCAGACAAATCCAAGTGCCATCACATCACCCCAAGATCAAATAGCTTGTTTGGTCACAAAGAAAACCACAATGAAAGTACAACCAATTACGCGAAATGGTTTTCTATTGTGAAAATTAAACACGAAAAGAACTTTCTAGATGAACGAGATAAAAGAAAACTTCAAGATTTCACAGTCCTATCCACCTTCTTTCTTCATTTCTGAACAACCAAACAAGAAAACAAGGAAAAAACCCAATTCAGACCCTAAAGTTCCACCCTTTATCTAAATCAATTCAAAATTAATATATTGTAAGGCAGAATCGAAACCAAAAAGTAATTTATTGCTTACCCAGATGAACAGGACTACACGAATTCCCCAATTCCGCATTCGATCTGGCAATCTGATCCTTTCTTCTTTTCCAATTAACAAAACGCAAAACGAAGCAAAAACCCGCCTTAAACCCTAAAACCCCAATACAATCAGTGGCGTATCCAAATACAAAAGGAGATCATAATGAAATACCTGAATTTGTATCTAGAATTGCAATAGTAACTTTAGGGCACACAAAATTTTCCCAGGATAATGGAACCCAAAACAGAAATCTCGGGATGTTGAGATGGAGAGAAAAATTCCAAATTCCAAATTAAAAAAAAAAAAAAGGAAAGTAAAGGTTTTGGTACTTGGCCGCGTTTTGCTGTTACTTTTTCTCTCCGAAGAATTATCTGTTGTGCTGTTGTTTTTTGTTTTTTTTTTTTTTTTGGCGGTTTCATTAATATCTTGCACTTGTTGTGTGGCACGTGCGATGAAAACTCATTGGACGAAAATGCCCATGCTTGCCCTTGTTTATTACCAACTGCCCAGCCTGGACTTGACTGCGTACGTGAAGCAGCGCGCAGTGGAGTGTGGCCCACTCCGGCAGAGGTTACTGTAGCCGAATTTTTTATTACTCATTGATTTCACCGATTTAACTTTTCAGTTTTAAGTTTCTACAGTAAAATACTCTTAAAAAATAACATATCTAATTTTTTCTACTAAAAAATTTTAAAAAATGACACATCTCAATTCGAATTAAAAATTCAAATCTGCAAAGTGAACGAGGCATTAGAGTGTTTGATACGAAGATTCATATCATGATTTGAATTATAATTCGTGGTTCGTTACAGTATTTTTTTTTATAAAAAATACACATAAATAAAAACTAATTCTGAATTATGGTTCCACGAAATTTCACGTGGAATTTGTGTCTCACCTGTGAAATAAAATATGCCGTTCTAATTAGCATGTTGGAAATTTTGATTGTTTTTTATTTTTGTCTATAAAATTCTCCTTTCTTTCAGTTAAATAAAAAAAAAAAGAGATGAAAACAACGTCTATTATAAGAAAAAAATGGTGAGAACAACCTCTATTTTTTTATACTCTATAATATCCTTTTAATTTTTGTAATAATATCCTTATTTATTTACTTAATTAAGACTTGAGTACGAGAAGTCTGACCGAGCATACATTAACCATTTCAGGAGCTTATTAGTTACTTAACACCCTACTCTACATTAATATTCTGGACTGTTATGCACCAGAACGTTTTTTCAGATGATTTTTTGCTTTAATTATTATGATTTTGTTTAATTAGAAGTCGAATATCTTAGATGGTGTTATTTATTTTAGTGGTCAACGTTTTGTCATCGCTCAGCAACCCCCTCTAACATTTTCTTTTTTTGTATACTAGGTCTTGGAGAAATTGGATCTTTATTAGCAGATTATCTTATTACGTTTGGTTGGAGGATTCAAACCATGTGATTTGAACCATTTTCGAATTACGTGAATTTTTTGTGAGAGAAAATACTGTAACGAACCATGAATCATGATTTGAATCAGGGAACGAATCTCTCTACCAAACATGCTCTTAGTTTCTTGGTCAATATTTGTCAGCGCTCAGCAACTTCCTTTAACAAAAATAAAAAATAAAAAAGGGAGCATTTACCAAATAGCGGGATGTAAGTGTGCGTTGTCGTCGTGTTTTTTCTTTTTCTTTGCTTTTTTTTTTTACGTTAGGATTTTCACTGAAGGCTCTAACGAAAAAGGAGGGCATCGCCCCAGTGCCACAAATTGTTCTAGCGGTTAGAATACTTAGGCATCTTTCAAACATGTTAAATGGAAAAAGACACATCTCCAATATAAATACTAATATCAACATGTATATTTAATAGTAAAAAGTGTGATCAAATATTATTTTTATTTATTTTCCAATGCATAAATGTTATTTTATATGCTAAATCTATTTTTTACCTTTATCAATCGCGAGTATAATTTTTCCATTTAAACTATATCGTTATGATATTTTCATTATAAGTGCAGTTGTTTATTTATCTGCTACACTGCTTCATAAAATTCTTAGACATCGGCCATCGCTAATATATAAGTTTTTAGCGATGCTAAAGAAGAAAAAAATGGGAAGAATATACAAACCACCAAACACGTTATGTAATTCCTTTTTGCGCCTTGTGGAAGAAACTATAACAATATGTTTTTTGTTAGTTAGAATCGTTATATATGTAGATAACTCTGAAGATTTTAAAATAATTGAAATAAATAGCAAGATTTTAAAATATTTGAAGTTTAATAACTACATAATTTATCTAATAAATTTACTCTTTACTGTTATATTTATTTAAACTATTTTTAAGACTCACAGTTTACTTCAATTATTTACCGTAAATTGCTATTTACATCTTGCTCCCTAAACTAAATAGAACTCAGGATAAGACTAGCTGTAGGAGTACAAGGCCGGTCACTACTCACTATCCCTTATGAATGACACCAAGAGAAGCCAAAATTAAATAAAGAGGATCATTTACAGCCAGCCTGCCATATATGTATGTGTATATATATCTATCTCTAAAGAGAATACCCCTCATCACGCGAGTCCTCCATTTCATTTTTATTCAACACCCCTAAATATTGTGGAAAATCTAAAACATGTTGGAACTAAAACAATGAACCAATTGAGAATTGAAGCATATGCAAGTGGTTACTTCGTGGAAACCCATCGGTAATCACCGGAATCCGTCTATGGCCAATCGGAGTCTAGAGAACCTGCAAAAGGAAGAAGAAGTTGGCAAGAGGAGCTATTGAGTTCCTCCCTATCTCTCCCTCTCTGCCCCCTTTCACGTCTCAACACACACCCACACAAGCACAAACATACATAACTAAAGAAGGGGTGCTGCCTCTCTTAAACCAAATCAATTGGGCACTAAGGGCTTTTAACCAATATTCATTGGAAATGATATCTAGTCTAATGGGCTGGCCAAATATTATGAGATAGAGGGAGTTTATATGCCTCAAGCGAGTTAATAGAACAAGTGTTCATCCCATTATAGACCGATATTTAACATACATGCATGTGTTAATTCACATTAACATAGTTGTCCATAAGATTCTTTAATTAATTACAGAGTTAATTATTATGATTATGGAAGTCCACATAAAAATATTCCAACAGTCTCCCACTTGGATGACATAATCATACAACAGACATTCACTCATCACATCATAAGTATCAACTAAGAATCTCACATAATAAATACAAGCCCAAAACAATTATGCATAATAACGTATCGACATGATACAATCATTATACATAATTAGGGGCTAGAGATTCATCAAAGCATGACGACAACTTTAATATATGGATCAAGAACTACCGAATGTCTCATTTTTTCCTATCACTTATCAACCAAAAAGTGTGTCAACACAATATCACACATAAAGTTACAAGATCCATAAATACGCATGTATTATTTGAGGCATAAGAAATCCTTATCAATAACAACATGTCACACACAAATGACAGTAAACTCCCATTAACTCAATACAACTACAGGTTTCTTACAGTCCCGAGTGGGATGTGTGTTCTTAAAACACCTTATAGGTAAGCTATTAGTGGAACTGCCAACATGTTGTTTATATGCGTGTTTTTAATAACAATGAGGCTTTTCACAATTTCTCTTTACAAAATAGAACACAATATCATTATGCTTGAGCGGATAATGCTCCTGGTGTTCTAAGAGAAATATGTTATTATGAAACTTTCACAACACAGCTTCAGTTGGTCCGGAAATGGAGTGAACTACTCCTAGTGCTAAAACAAGGCACAATCACATCATACAAATAGCCTTACGATACGCCACATACTCCGCATCACAGTCAATGACACTACAAGTGTCTATTTGACACTTTTCAACAAAGTAGTTCATCCTTTTATCATTTATGCAGCCTACATAATCAGCATCACGAGATCTAACTACAACAAAATTGTTGATTCGCCGATACACAACTATTTGGTACTTCATTCTCAGTTAATTCAGTAATAATAACAGCAATCACTCAAGTACTGAATCTGCACGTCAACAACAAACACAATAATAAGACACGTGCATACTTGAGCATACATCAGGCTGTTAAATACGTAAGCATAAGGAAAAATTTTATCTGATCTCTCTTACTTCACCGTAAGGACATTACACCTTTGAGAGTTTGTCACTTTAACTACAATGCTTACTAGGAGAACAAGAATGCATATTGAACCTGTTCGAAACAAGAACAATATAGGTTCTCTGAGATGATTAAAAAATGCACTTATCCTTGTCACGGAGAATCTACATGCCTAGAATATAAGAGGCTTTTTCAAGATTCTCAAACCAAAGTGACTAGGCGACATGCTATACGTCTCAACCAATAGGTCATAATCATTAGGCGTGAGCAAGTTGTCAGCGATATAAAAACATAAACATGCAACTCCTCTTACTGACCTTACACATATGCATTTATCAACAACGTTCTCCATAAAGTTAATTTTAGTGACTGCCTCATTCTAAAATTGAGACATTATTGCCTCGGTGTTATCCATATACTCCCACTCATCATAGAGTTTCTCAACACATTAGTGGAGTTAAGAAATGCATCCATTCTCAAGGCTATGTCCATTTCATCATTAACAGATTCATAAAGAGATTCATACCATATATAATGGCTTGTCCCATTTAACGTCAAGACTCGGAGATGTAAGGATTGCTAAAGGCTAAAGAAAATAACATGGGCAACCAACAATAGGCATGTAAAACAAGATTATGCAATTTTCCCTTTACTTAGCCTTCCCAATGATCCAAGCCAATATGATCATTGTGTGCTAGAGTCCATTGAGCAAGAATAAAACTCTTTCGCAGGTAAGGACAATTCATCAAACATCACAACCAAATGCATCAATCCACCACCGATAGGGTAGTAAAGATTATGCGGTTCATGACATCCAACAAACTTCCTTCACCGCTCTAAGCATCCTACCAAACAATTAATTATCGATAGGATAATTTAATTGCCCGTATGGATCTTAACAATATGGTAAATGCATATCTTTATCCTTAACACTCTAATATATTATTTGACCATAATATGAGTTTAGTGATTATGCAAGTCCACTCATAATCATTCACAATATTCTCCCACTTGAACTGCATAATAAAAAATATGGTACTCATATAATACAAAATGTTAAATAAAATATGTAACCAAAAACATGGATAAAGACAACAAGCTTAAGCTCCAACAAGACTCAAGTGTCCTACCAAGCAATAAAACTATCGATAGGATAATTCCATTACCTGTATGGACTTTCGGAACATAATCAACAAATTAAGTTTATC